TATGTAATACCTGAGATGAAATAATAAGTCTGCTATCCCCTGGTGCTGTCTTACAAACCTCCAGTTCCTACACATCCTGACATGCTTCTTAGCAGCCACTCCATGGGTGCCCTAGTTGCCCCTAGATTATTTCAGTACATCATGCTGCTACTGCTGCTTGAGGTATCTGGGTGGCATTTCGTTTGCAGTTAGAACACCTACACCCAGAGATTCTGCCTGCCCTCTTTGCAGCCCTTCTGTTGTGGAAAGCACCTCTTTTCTGAAGCACACTGAGTGAGCAGCTGGATGATCTGATTTCCCAGCCTTCTAGTTAACTGCTTGGGTTCTAGATACAGAGTTGACCACATGCTATGCACCCTATCTTGGTCTTGGACCATTTTGGTAGTTGGTAGCTAGGTTGCCTTTTCTTTTCCTCTGTCATTGCTGTGGTGGATGGCCTGAATTGTGCTCACTTGCTTGCTCTTTCCTGAAAGACACCTTTTTATTATTTTCCAAAATGGTTGACTCAACTCAAGAACCAGCATCTCCCCAGATTCAAAAGGGGTAAAGATTCTTAGTCTGTGCTGCTATAACAAAATAGCTGAGACTGAGACTGAGTAGTTTACAAACAACAGAAATTTATTTCTCATAGCTCTAGAGGCTGGGAAGTCCAAGGTCAAGGCACTGGCATCTCTTCAGATGTTGCTTTTTGAGTTGAATCAATCATTTTGACTTAAGTCTCCCATTTCTCCGTGAGGTTTCACTTCACCTATATAATAATATCTGATCCCCACAGCAATCCTGTGAAGTAGGAAAAACAGGCATTATGATTCCCACTTAAAGACAAAAACTGAGGCTTAGAAAGAATCGTGTAGGGTTTTGAGAAGGCATAGATCTGTGATGGAATGACTTGAATTAAAAATTCTGGCTGGGAGCTGTGGCTCATGCCTGTAATCCCAGCACTTTGGGATGCTGAGGCAGGCGGATCACCTAAGGTCAGGAGTTTGAAACCAGCCTGGCCAACATGATGAACCCCCATCTCTACTAAAAATACAAAAATTAGCTAGGCATGGTTGTGCATGCCTGTAATCCCAGTTACTTGGAAGGCGGAGGCACAAGAATCACTTGAACCTGGGAGGCAGAGGTTGTAGTAAGTTGAGATCGCACCTTGGCACTCCAACCTGGGCGACAGAGCGAGACTCCATCTCATAAAGAAAAAAAAAAGATTCTTAGTCTGTGCTGCTCTAACAAAATACCTGCGACTGAGACTGAGTAGTTTATAAACAACAGAAATTTATTTCTCATAGTTCTAGGGGCTGGGAAGTCCAAGATCAAGGCACTGGCAGATTCACTGTCTGGTGAGGACCCAGTCTCTCTGCTTCCAAGATGCCATGTTTCTGCTGTATCCTCTGGAGAGGAGAATCACTGTGTCCTCATATGGTACAAAGCAGAAGGGCAAAAGGGGCAAATGCCAGTTCCTACTATCCCTTCCATAAGGTCACTGATACCATTCATGACTTAGTCACCTCTTAAAGGCCTTGCTTCTTTTCTTCCTTCCTTTCTTCTTTTTTTTTTTTTGAGATGGAGTTTCGCTCTTGTCGCTGAGGCTGGAGTGCAATGGTGCCATCTTGGCTCACTGCAACCTCCGCCTCCCGGGTTCAAGCGATTCTCTGGCCTCAGCCTCCTGAGTAGCTGGGATTACAGGCACCCACCTTATGCCCAGATAATTTTTGTATTTTTGTAGAGATGGTGTTTCACCATGTTGGACAGAATGGTCTTGAACCCCTGACCTCAGGTGGTCCGCCTGCCTCAGCCTCCTAAAGTGCTGGGGTTACAGGTGTGAGCTACCATACCCAGCCAGGGCCTCACTTAATAGTATCACATTGGCAATTAAATTTCAACATATAAATTTTGGGGAAACATTCACACCACAGCAGACTGTTTGGGGTAAGACTGGACAGCTACTTTGCTTGGGGAATGCAGAATCTAAAGAATACCATGGAGACCTGGGCTTCAGAGCCAAGGGAGACGAGGATTCTGGATAGAGAGATTCAGTTTTCCAAAGACTTTGCTTTACTAATCAACACCAACAGCAAGTAGTCCTGAGTTGGGAGGGATCTGACTCTAATACTGTGTAAAAATAGTTGCAGCTACCCCTTATGGAATGCTTATTAATGGGCCAGGGTCTTGGCTAAATATTTTACATATACCATCTCCTTTAGTTCTCACAGTAAGTGTTTTCCTTATTTTACAGATGAGGAAATAGAGGCTTCCAGAGATTAAATACGTTGTCCAATACCACATGGCTATTAAGTGGCAGAGGTGGCTTCCAGTAGGGTTCTGTTTGACACTGCACCCATAATTTTAGCCATTCTATTTCTTTTCAGGGACTGACGTTCTTGAACACCAAGTGGGCTTTATTTTAGGGGCATAGCTAGGTGGACTTATGTTGTCCCTAAAGGAGCTAATTTTCCCCTGCTTGTGTCTAAGAAACATTTGTTAACAGAGACTCAGCAGGTCTTTGATATCTCTCTCTCTCTTTTTTGAGACAGGGTCTTTCTCTGTCACCCAGGCTGGAGTGCAGTGGAATGATTATAGCTTACTGCAGCCTTGAACTCCTGGACTTGAGCGATCCTCTTGATTCAGCCTCTCAAGCAGCTGAGACAACAGGCATGCACCACCATGCCTGGCTAAGTTTTAAAATTTTTTGTAGAGATGGAGTCTTGCTATATTGCCTGGGCTGGTCTTGGACTCCTGGCCTCAAGCGATCCTCCTGCCTTGCTCCCCACAAAGTATTGGGATTATAGGCATGAACCACCATGCCCTCTTGATGGACCAATCTGTTGCTGTCCTGAAGGTCTTGCTGCCCAAGAACTAACATACTTGGTAGAGGTTTTATTCTAGTCTGTTGAAAAATCCTTTTGTTTATTGCCCTGTACCTTTGTTTTTGGAAACTTATTCTGAAGTTTAAAATAAAAATAAATTAAAAAAAAAAAGGGCCGGGCATGGTGGCTTGCGCCTGTAATCCCAGCACTTTGGGAGGCCGAGGCAGGCGGATCACGAGGTCAGGAGATCAAGACCATCCTGGCTAACACGATGAAACCCCGTCAGTACTAAAAAAAAAATACAAAAAATTAGCCGGGCGTGGTGGTGGGCACCTGTAGTCCCAGCTACTTGGGAGGCTGAGGCAGGAGAATGGCGTGAACCCGGGAGGTGGAGCTTGCAGTGAGCCGAGATCGCGCCACTGCACTCCAGCCTGGGCGACAGAGCGAGACTCTATCTCAAAAAATAAAAAATAAAAAAAAAGATTTAGGCTGCTGGCATTATCTGAAAGTGACCACTTACCTTACCGTTGTCCACCAAGATCTGCAAACACCGCTCACCATTTTTAGGTTCAATCTGTTTTGGGTTTATAGGCTTAACTTACCCCCTGGTTTAATGTGCAGCTTCAGCTCATCTTTATAGTCAACATTGTCTTATCTAAACCTACATACATACTCACCGGAAATGACTGTACCAGCTTGTAGCTATGAGGCCTCAGTTCATCTCAACCTTGCCTTCCGGGAGTAGCCACCTATTATCTGGTTCAACGAGTTCTGTCAGTTAACCTGAAGCCCAAGAAGATACTAGTTGTTTCCATGTATGTCCTTGCTAGGATGTTTAGACCTGAGTCATGTATTTGGGCCCTACCTCAAAATCACAAGGGCTGTGATTTGTATCCCTTTTTATGGTTACCTAGAACTTTTGGTAGCCTTGAATTTGGGGAAGAAACGGATACTTAGTAAACACCTACGCATTTGTATTCATATAAAGAAGCAGATAAGCTGACCAAAAGAAACCTCTCCCAGTCCTCATGGAATTCTAAGAAATGATTAAATCCTTCTTGAGAATTTTTAATGCATACCCTATCCCACTTCAATTTTTGCAGCCTTGAGCATACTAACAAAAGTGACAAGCTTCAGCCTCTGCTGGGGAACACACAAGCTGTAGCTGCTGCTCTTACTGCTGCTGCTGCTGCTGCTGCTACTGCTGCTCAGAGTTCCTGCAAGGTTTCATTCAGCTTTAGGAGGCACTACAACTTATGGTTAGGAGCCAAAGCTGTAGCTTCTAATTCTGGTCAAGATGCAATAACTGGCACTGGACTAGCCTTCCTGCCATGAACAAACATAAAACTAGATGAAACATATGAAGCAACTGTTTCAGGTATTAAACAACAAGACAGTCCAGGATTGTGATCCTTGAGGAAAAGAAAACGCATGGGGTGAGCCCCATTCGCCCTGGCTATCTATCTGGGAGCAATTCCTAGGCTATGACAGCACTAGGTAGAGACCAAACAGAGCATGAGAGGACTCCTCTGACCTGAGGAGGCAGAGATTAGAGATTAGGGCTGCTGATAAGGTTTAAACCTGTGGGACAGGGCACTGAAGAAGAGAGAATGCTTTGTAGGGGAAAGAGGGCATGGATATTGTGAGACATATAAATCAGTGGGACAGGATGGAGAGCCAAGGAACAAACCTGCATATATATAGTCAATTGGTTTTTGACAAAAGGGCCAAGATAATTAAACAGGGAAAGGATCATCTATGCCACAAATTGTCCTGGGAAAACTGATATCCATATAGGAAAAAAAAAAAAAAAAAGAACTTTGGCTCTTACTTCACAACATTGTATTAGTCTGTTCTCACACTGCTAATAAAGACATACCCAAGACTGGGTAATTTATAAAGGAAAGAAGTTTAATTGATTCACATTTCCACATAACTGGGGAGGCCTCACAATCATGGCTAAAGATGAATGAGGAGCAAAGTCATGGCGACAGGCAAGAGAGCATGTGCGTGGGAATTGCCCTTTATAAAGCCATCAGATCTCGTGAGACTTATCATGAGAACAGCATGGGAAAAACCTGCCCCCATGATTCAGTTATCTCCACCTGGTCCCTTCGGTGACACGTGGTGATTACAGGAACTATAATTCAAGATGAGATTTGGGTGGGGACACAGTCAACCATATCAAACATATACAAAAAATAACTAAAAATGGACAATTTCGCGCCAATCTTGACCGCGCATTCTGTTTTAACGAGCTGGCTCGGAGGTGCTCCAGCTGCTGTCATGGTTCATTTGCTAAACTGCATCGTCGCTGTGTCCCAGAACATGGGCATCGGCAAGAATGGGGACCTGCCCTGGCCGCCGCTCAGGAATGAATTCAGATATTTCCAGAGAATGACCACAACCTCTTCAGTAGAAGGTAAACAGAATCTGGTGATTATGGGTAAGAAGACTTGGTTCTCCATTCCTGAGAAGAATCGACCTTTAAAGGGTAGAATTAATTTAGTACTCAGCAGAGAACTCAAGGAACCTCCACAAGGAGCTCATTTTCTTGCCAGAAGTCTGGATGATGCCTTAAAACTTACTAACAACCAGAATTAGCAAATAAAGTAGACATGATTTGGATAGTTGGTGGCAGTTCTGTTTATAAGGAAGCCATGAATCACCCAGGCCATCTTAAACTATTTGTGACAAGGATCATGCAAGACTTTGAAAGTGACACCTTTCTTCCAGAAATTGATTTGGAGAAATATAAACTTCTACCAGAATACCCAGGTGTTCTCTCTGATGTCCAAGAGGAGAAAGGCATTAAGTACAAATTTGAAGTATATGAGAAGAATGATTAATATGAAGGTGTTTTCTGGTTTAAGTTGTTCCCCCTCCCTCTAAAAAAAGTATGTATTTTTACATTAGAAAAAAAGCATTTTATTGACTTTAGATCTATAATTATTTCTAAGCCACTTGTTTTTATTCCCCACTACTCTTGACTCTGTCAGATACCATTTATGAAACATTCTTGCTATAAATAAGTGCTTCTCCAAGACCCCGACTGAGTCCCCAGCACCTGTTACAGTGAGCTGCCTTTCCACACCCATCACATGTGACACTCTTGCCAGTCCTTGACATTGTCGGGCTTTTCAAATGTTGGTAATATTTATTAAAGATGAAGATCCACATACCCTTCAACTGAGCAGTTTCGCTAGTGGAAATACCAAAAGCTTCCTATGTGTATATCCAGAGGTTTGTAAATAAATGTTGCAGCCTTGTTTGTAACAGTGAAAAATTGAAAACAACCTGGAAGTCCAGTGATGGGAAAATGAGTATGTTTCTGTCTTAGATTGGGGAACCCAAAGTAAATTCCAAGACTGAAATTTCAGTGAAAGCAGTTTATTTGCTAGGTCATACCAGAAACCATGGGTTGAGGTATGGAAAAACTGAACTGAGAAGGTAAGAAAACCAGTTTAAAGTCAGCGAGCAGGTTCTCACTGGTAACAAGCTCCATACTGCTGAGATACAGGGAAATGGAGGGGGAGAAAACTGGAGTGTTGATTCCCCTCTCTTCCTTGGTTGTCAGCTCCCTGTCCTGTGGGTGGGTGGAACGTACTCCAGCTGCTCTATAGTAAGTCCCAGGTGTTTGCAGTAAGAAGCTGCTGGCATGCACGGAAACAGCGAATGCCAAACACTTAAAGCAATTCCATGTTTAAGTATATAAGCTCTCCATATATATATATATAGTTTTTTTTTAAAGACAGTTTCCCTCTTGTTGCCCAGGCTGGAGTGCAGTGGTGCAATCTCAGCTCACTACAACCTCCGCCTTCCCAAATTCAAGCAATTCTCCTGCCTCAGGCTCCCAAATAGCTAGGACTAAGTGCACGCCACCATGCCCGGATAAATTTTTGTATTTTGTATTTTTAGTAGAGACGGGATTTCACCATGTTGGTAAGGCTGGTCTCAAACTCCTGACCTCAAGTGATTCGCCCACCTCAGCTTCCCAAGGTGCTGGGATTATGGGCGTGAGCCACCACACCTGGCACATCTTCATTCTTTTTATGTAGTAAAAAGAATAAAACCACACATGGTTTATTTGAAATATTCTATAATTTTAAAAAATACAGAAGCAGGAAAACCAATTCTAAGTTCAAGTGAGGGATGATGGTTGCTTGAACCAAAGAGTTGCATGTAGTAAGAACTTCTGATTTAAGATATATTTTAAAGTTGTAAGTAGCAGGATATTCTGATGGAGTTTGACTTTGGTTTTGGGCCCACTGAGTTTGAGATGCCTTTGAGAAATGAAGGAAGTAGAGAGAGAATAAAAGAAAAACTAGCTGGGCACAGTGGCTCACGCCTGTAATCCTAGCACTTTGGGAGGCCAAGGCAGGTGGATCAGTTGAGACCAGCTTGGGCAACATAGCAAAGCCCCATCTCTACAAAAAACACAAAAATTGGCTGGGCATTGTGGCGCACACCTGTATTCCCATCTACTCAGGGAGCTGAGATGGAAGGATCAATGGAGCCCATGAGTCCAAGGCTGCAGTGAGTCGTAGTTGTGCCACTGCACTCCAGCCTGGGGGACAGAAGAGACCCTGTCTTGAAAAGGAATCTGAAAACAATGGAACCGTGCCTTCAGAATTCTAGAAAGTTATTTTCAACTGATAAATCTATATTCACCCAAATAATCAAAGGTGAAGGTAAAATACATTTTTAGACAAGCAAAGACTCAGGGGTTACCTCCATGTACCCTTTTTTGGGAAGCTATTGGAGAAAATACTCCAGCAAAGGGAAGGAGTACACAAACCGGAGAATGACATAGATCCAGCAAATAGGATCCAACACAGGCAATATTCCAGCTATGGAGCTGACTTTAAAAAGAAACAGTAAAAATATTAATAGGTTAGCTGGGTGGAATGGCCCATGCCTGTAGTCCCAGCTACTCAGGAGGCTCAGCAAAGGATGGCTTGAGCCCAAGAGTTCCAGACCAGCCTGGCTACCTTAGGGAGATCCATTCTCTTAAAAATAATAAGTTATTGCCAAATTTGGGGCATTTGGAAAGAAGTTCATTGAAGATAAAGCAGAAGTAAAAAAATAAGGGGAAAGGGTTGGTTAGGCAATCATTAATTCTAGGGCAGAAAGAAGTACAGGATAGGAAGAGCATAATACGCTGTTTTTCTCAACAAGGAGCAATACATACACAGTCATAATGATGTGGTGACTGCTTAGCCCCTAAATATGGTAACCACTTTGGGACAATATGGGAGGAAGTGAAGATAGTGATGGTGTAAGAGCTAAATCCTCACCTGTTATATCCAGAAATCACTATATAATGTATAAAATAATTAAGAAATGACTAAGTAGTTATGTGAGGAAAAAAACAGAAGACATTGCTGGAAGTCATTGCTCTGGAGAATTAGGAGGGATGGGGCAGGGGACTGTTAGGATGCATTATAAACTGAAGAGGTTTTTAAAAATTTTATGTATTAATATATGCATTCACTTGAAAAACTAAAAAAATAACAATTTGGAAAAACCCATGAAGGTAACTAACAGAAGGAAAAACTAAGAGAATGAAAAGTGTTTGCCTCTGGAAAGAACAACTGGCAGGACTGTTGTTTTCATTGTAAGACTTTTGGAGCCATTTAATTGTACTTAACCATTTTAATCTATTTCTTGAATAAGAACAATTCTATCTTAAAAAAGAGTTACACTTGTTCATTAAAAAAAATAACTAAAAATGGATCATGGACCTAAAATTATAATATGAAAGTGCTAGAAAATGGGAGAAAATGAAACCTTGGGTTAAGCAAGATTTCTTAGAATGCAAAAAGCACAGCACAAAAAAGAAAAAAATGGTAAATTTAACTTCATCAAAATTAGAATGTCTCCCCTTTGAATGACACTGTTAAGAAAATGAAGGGGAGGGGCAAGAAGGTTGAATAGAAACAGGAAGGGGAACATCACACACCGGGGCCTATCATGGGGAGGGGGGAGGGGGGAGGGATTGCATTGGGAGTTATACCTGATGTAAATGACGAGTTGATGGGTGCAGCACACCAACATGGCACAAGTATACATATGTAACAAACCTGCACGTTATGCACATGTACCCTACAACTTAAAGTATAATAATAATAAATAATAATAAATAAATAAATTAAAGTATAATAATAATAAATAAATAAATTAAATAAATAAATAAAAAAGAAACAGCTCCGGTCTGCAGCTCCCGGTGGGACCAATGCAGAAGGGGGTGATTTCTGCATTTCCAACTGAGGTACCCAGTTCATCTCACTGGGACTGTTTCGGCAGCGGGTGGAACCCATGGAGAGCGAGCAGAAGCAGGGTGGGGCATTGCTTTACCCAGGAAGTGCAAGGAGCCAGAGGACCTCTCAAGGGAAGCCATGAGGTATTGTGCTACCCGCCCGGGTACTACACTTTTCTCATGGATTTTGCAATCAGCAGATCAGATTTCCTGGTGAGCCTACACCACCAGGGCCCTGAGTTTCAAGCACAAAACTAGGTGGCTGTTTGGGCAGGCACCCAGCTAGCTGCAGGAGTTTGTTCATACCCTAGTGGCACCTGGAACCCCAGCAAGACAGAACCGTTCACTCCCCTTGAAAGGGAGCTGAAGCCAGAGAGCCAAGTGGTTTCACTCAGCAGGTTCCACTCCCATGGAGCCCAGCAAGCTAAGAACCACTGACTTGAAATTCTTGTTGCCAGCACAGCAGTCTGGTCGACCTAGGACGATTGAGCTTGGTGGGAGGAGGGGCATCTGCGATTACCGAGGCTTTAGTAGGCCGTTCTTCCCTGACAGTGCTAAGGAGACGGAGAGGTGTGGACTGGGTGGAATTTGCCACAGTGCGGCAAAGTGACTGTGGCCAGAGTGCTTATCTAGTTTTCTCCTCACTGGTCAGGGCATCTCTGAAGGAAATGCAGCAGCCCTAGTCAGGGGCTTACAGACGAAACGCTCATCTACCTGGGACAGAGCACCTGGGGGGAGGGGCTGCTGTGGGCACAGCTTCAGCGGATTTAATCTTTCCTGCCTGTTGGCTCTGAAGACAGCAGCTGATCCTGACAAGGGGGATTCTCCCAGCACAGCACACCAGCTCTGTAAGGGACAGACTGACTCCTCAGGTGGGTAACTGACCCCAATGCTGACTAGACAGTTAAAGATGTGCTGAAGCTACACATTAAACCTCCCAACAGGGGTCAACAGACACCTCATACAGGAGAGCTCTGGCTGGCATCAGGCTGGTGTCCCTCTGGGATGAAGCTTCCAGAGGAAGGAGCAGGCTGCAATCTTTGATGTTCTGCAGCCTTCCAGGCAAACAGGGTCTGGAGTGGACCTCCAGCAAACTGCAGCAGACCTGCAGAAGAGGGGCCTGACTGTTAGAAGAAAAACCAACAAACAGAAAGCAACAACAACATCAACAAAAAGGACCCCCACACAAAAACCCCATCCAAAGGTCATCAGCCTCAAAGATCAAAGGTAGATAAATCCATGAAGATGAGGAAAAATCAGTGCAAAAATGCTGAAAATTCCAAAAACCAGAATGCCTCTCCAGTAAGGGCATAAAACTGGATGGAGAATAAGATTAACAAACTGACAGAGGCAGGCTTCAGAAGGTGGGTGATAACAAACTCCTCTGATCTAAAGGAGCATGTTCTAACCCAATGCAAGGAAGCTAAGAACCTTGATAAAAGGTTACAGGAACTGCTAACTAGAATAACCAGTTTAGAGAGGAACATAAATAACTTGATGAAGCTAAAAAACAAACAAACAAACAAAAAAACCAAAAAGCAAAACAACATGAGAACTTCAGGAAGCATACACAAGTATCAATAGCTGAATCAATCAAGCGGAAGAAAGGATGTCAGAGATTGAAGATCACCTTGCTGAAAAAAGGCATGAAGACAAGATTAGAGAAAAAGAATGAAAAAGAATGAACAAAGCCTTCAAGAAATATGGGACTATGTGAAAAGACTAAACCTATGATTGATTGGTGTACCTGAAAGTGACAGGGAGAATGGAATCAAGTTGGAAAACACATTTCATGATATTATCCAGGAGAACTTCCCCAACCTAGAAAGATAGGCCGACATTCAAATTCAGGAAATACAGAGAACACCACTAAAATACTCCTCGAGAAGATCAACCCCAAGGCACATAATCATCAGATTCTCCAAGGTTGAAATGAAGGAAAAAATGTTAAGAGCAGCCAGAGAGAAAGGCCAGATCACCTACAAAGGGAAGTGCATCAGACTAACAGTGGATCTCTCTGTAGAAACCCCACAAGCCAGAAGAGAGTGGGGGCCAATATTCAACATTCTTAAAGAAAAGAATTTTTCAGCCCAGAATTTCATATCCAGCCAAACTAAGCTTCAAAAGCAAAGGAGAAATAAAACCCTTTCCAGACAAGGAAATGCTGAGGGATTTTGTCACCACCAGGCCTGATTTACAAGAACTCCTGAAGGGGCCGGGCGCTGTGGCTCAAGCCTGTAATCCCAGCACTTTGGGAGGCCGAGACGTGTGGATCACGAGGTCAGGAGATTGAGACCATCCTGGCTAACACGGTGAAACCCCGTCTCTACTAAAAAAAAAATACAAAAACTAGCCGGGCGAGGTGGTGGGCGCCTGTAGTGCCAGCTACTCGGGAGGCTGAGGCAGGAGAATGGCGGGAACCCAGGAGGCAGAGCTTGCAGTGAGCTGAGATCTGGCCACTGCACTCCAGCCCGGGCGACAGAGCGAGACTCCGTCCCAAAAAAAAAAAAAAAAAAAGAACTCCTGAAGGAAGCACTAAATATGGAAAGGAAAAACTGGTAACAGCCACTACAAAAACACACCGAAATATAAGACTATTGACACTATGAAGGAACTGCATCTACTAATGTGCAAAATAACCAGCTAGCATCATGATGACAGCATCAAATTCACACATAACAATATTGACCTTAAATGTAAATGTGCTAAATGCCCCAATTAAAAGACACAGACTGGCAAATTGGATAAAAAGTCAAGACCCATCAGTGTGCTATATTCAAGAGACCCATCTTATGTTCAAAGACACACATAGGCTCAAAATAAAGGGATGAAGGAATATTTACCAAGAAGCAAAAAAAAGCAATTTTTTTTTCTTGCTTGCAAGTAGGTTGCAATCCTAGTCTTTGATAAAACAGACTTTAAACCAAGAAAGATCAAAAAAGACAAAGAAGGGCATCACATAATGGTAAAAGGATCAATGCAACAAGAAGAGTTAACTATCCTAAATATATATGCATCCAAAACAGGAGCACCCAGATTTGTAAAACAAGTTCTTAGAGACCTACAAAGATACTTAGGCTCCCAGACAATAATAGTGGGGGACTTTAACACCCCAATGTCAATATTAGACAGATCAATGAGACAGAAAATTAACAAGGATATTCAGGACTTGAACTCAGCTGCGGACCTAATAGATATCTACAGAACTCTCCACCCTAAATCAAGAGAATATACATTCTTCTTAGTGCCACATGGCACTTATTCTTAAACTGGCCGCATACTTGGAAGTAAAGGACTCCTCAGCAAATGCAAAAGAATGGAAATCGTAACAGTCTATCAGACCATAGTGCAATCAAATTTGAATTTAGGATTAAGAAACTTACTCAAGACTTTCGCTCGCCGAGGCGCGTATCAGTCGGAATTTTGAGGAGCCAACCGGGCCGTCTGTCTCTGGCAAGCCAGTGGCGGTTTAAAGGACGTGGTGGGAAGCCTGTGTGTGCTCGACTTCGTGACCCTCATGGTCGCTCCGGTTTTTCACACCTGAAAATAACATAGCAAAATAAGCCAAGATGTCTGTGAATCCAATGACCTATGAGGCCCAGTTCTTTGGCTTCATGCCACAAACGTGCATGCTTCGAATTTACATTGCATTTCAAGACTACCTATTTGAAGTGATGCAGGCCGTTGAACAGGTTATTCTGAAGAAGCTGGATGGCATCCCAGACTGTGACATTAGCCCAGTGCAGATTCGCAAATGCACAGAGAAGTTTCTTTGCTTCATGAAAGGACATTTTGATAACCTTTTTAGCAAAATGGAGCAACTGTTTTTGCAGCTGATTTTACGTATTCCCTCAAACATCTTGCTTCCTGAAGATAAATGTAAGGAGATACCTTATAGTGAGGAAGATTTTCAGCGTCTCCAGAAAGATTTTGAACAGTTACAGGAGAAGTACAAGACTGAATTCAAAATGTTGTCAGAGATCATGGGACTAGTGATTTTAGGGAGAGTTTAGTGTCCCTGGTTCAGAACTCCAGAAAACTACAGAATATTAGAGACAGTGTGGAAAAGGAATCGAAACGACTGAAAATATCTTAATTGCTCAGTAGTCAAAAGGAGGAGCCTGTCAAAAAGTAGAATCATAAGGAATTTATACCAGTGACTGTTCAAACCAACCATACTTTTTATTAGATTTGCTTTGTCAAGTCTTTCTTGTATTCTGTGTCTTCCTCTCTTTTGGTCCACTTTCCTGAGGTATGTGTGTACTACTTTGAACTAGGCTGTAGCATCTGTTCCTTAGAGTCTTCTAATGAGTGGGAAGGGATCAAATGAAGAAGCCATGGCTAGTTAAAGATATTTGCAGAGTTACACCTTGGTCATAAGTTCTTTGTGACCTTGATGATTTTGACTTACTCTTTGGATGAGACCAGATGAGAAAAGGATTAAATGGGTGGCTCCTTTAGTATTATTGTTATTTTTGAGGCAAAGTCCCCTTCTGTTACCCAGGTTAGAGTAGAGTTCAGTGGCACAGTCTTGGCTCACTGCAGCCTCTGTGTCCTGGGCTCAAGTGATCCTCCTGCCTCAGCCTCCCAAGTAGCTAGGACCACAGGTGCGTGTCACCATGCTTTGCTAATTGTTTTTGCAGAAACGAGGCCTCACTATATTGCCCAGGCTGAGTGGCCTTTTTATTAACCAGTCATTACACTGTGGGACAGCCAACATAGAGTACTTTCTCTCACCCTGTAAATTTTCTTACATCAGGGAGTCAATATGTAGTGGAAAGAAGCGTGTAGCAAAAAAGACAACCTTGGTCTTTAATAAAAAAGAAGTTGGTTTATTTCCAAAATAAATCTGACAAAAAAAACCTGGTGATGTTAAGCAATTTACTGTCTTAGAGTCCTGCCGGAGAAGACCTTAGACAAAAAAAGAGAACCCACTGGAATAGAGAAGGAAGCATATAGCATACTCAGTAGTGAAATTTAATTTTACTGACTGTTAGGTATCTATGCCAATTTATTTTCATACTTCAGTGGGTTTCGGAATCTGCCTTATACCTAATATTTAATTATTTATTCACACTCACAAGCATCAAACATTTAATTCCCTCAGTGGGAAATTTGTGTTTAAACTCAATGGAATCTAATATTTCTTTATGTCATTAGTCCCTGTAAAATGTTAGGTCACCCAAGGAAAGGGAAGAAATAGCAATGGCTGCTCCTAAGGTGTTGCTAGCCCTCCATGTCTTCCTAAAGAGCAGAACTTGGAGTTTCTCCTTTATGTAGAGAAGAAGTAACTTAGGGTGTATTTGCAAAGAAATATTCATAGACACTGAAAGCTTGTGTTTACATGAAATATGTTTATTATCAAGAAGTCCTTTTTCCAATTCTGTACATTAAATAAATATGTTTTAAAAGGAAAAAAAAAAAAGAGACTTACTCAAAACCACACAACTACATGGAAGTTGAACAGCCTGCTCCTGAATGGCTTCTGGGTAAACAACAAAATTAAGGAAGAAATAAAGAAGTTCTTTGAGACCAATGAGAACAAAGAGACAATGTACCAGAATATCTGGGACACAGTTAAAGCAGAGTTTAGAGGGAAATTTACAGCACTAAATGCCCACATCGGGAAGCTGGAAAGATCTGAAATTGACACCCTAACATCACAATTAAAAGAACTAAAGAAGCCACCAGGTGCAGTGGCTCACACCTGTAATCCCAGTACTTTGGGAGGCTGAGGTGGGTGGATCATGAGGTCAGGAGTTCGAGGCCAGCCTGGCCAACATGGTGAAATCCCATCTGTACTAAAAATATAAAAATTAGTTGGATGTGATGGTGGGTGACTGTAGTCCCAGCTACTTGGGCGGCTGAGCAGGAGAATAGCTTGATCCTGGGAGGCAGAGGTTGCAGTGAGCCGAGATCCCACCATTGCATTCCAGCCTGGGACAGAGCAATACTCTGTTTCAAAAAAAAAAAAAAAAAAAAACTAGAGAAGCAAGAGCAAACAAATTCAAAAACTAGCAGGAGACAAGAAATAACTAAGATCAGATCAGAACTGAAGGAGATAGAGACACGAAAAACCCTTCAAAAAATCAATGAATCCAGGAGATGGTTTTTTGAAAAAATTAACAAAATAGATAGACCACTAGCTACACTAATAAAGAAGAAAAGACAGAAGAATCAAATAGACACAATAAAAAATGATAAAGGGCATATCACCACTGATCCCACAGAAATACAACCACCATCAGAGAATACTATAAACACCTCTATGCAAATAAACTAGAAAATCTAGAAGAAATGGATAAATTGCTGGACACATACACCCTCCCAAGACTAAACCAGGAAGAAGTTGAATCCCTGAATAGACCAATAACAAGTTCTGAAACTGAGAAAGTAATTAATAGCCTACCAAAACAAAAAAAGCCCAGGAACAGAAGGATTCATAGCTGAATTCTACCAGAGGTACAAAGAGGAGCTGGTACCATTCCTTCGGAAACTATTCCAATCAATAGAAAAAGGACTCCTTCCTAACTCACTTTACGAGGCCAACATCATCCTGATACCAAAACCTGAGACACACACACACACACACACACACACACACACACACGAAAACAAAATTTTCAGGCCAATACCCCTGATGAACATCAATGCAAAAATCCTCAATAAAATACTGGTAAATCAAATCCAGCAGCACATTCAAAGCTTATCCACCACGATCAACTCTGCTTCATCCCCAGGATGCAAGGTTGGTTCAACATATGCAAATCAATAAACGTAATCAATCACATAAGCAGAACCAATGACAAAAACCACATGATTATGTCAATAGATGCAGAAAAGGCCTTTGATAAAATTCAACATGACTTCATACAAAAAACTCTCAATAAACTACGTATTGATGGAACATATGTCAAAATAATAAGAGCTATTTGTTACAAACCCATAGCCAATATTATACTGAGTGGGCAAAAGGTGGAAGCTACGAGCTGCCTGATGGCCAGGTCATCACCAACGGCAATGAGCGGTTCCACTGTCCCGAGGCGCTCTTCCAGCCTTCCTTCCTGGGCATGGAATCCTGTGGCATCCGTGAAACTACCTTCAACTCCATCATGAAGTGTGATGTGGACATCTGCAAAGACCTGTACATCAACACAGTGCTGTCTGGCGGCACCACCATGTACCCCGGCCATCGCAGACAGGATGCAGAAGGAGATCACTTAGCCCTGGTGCCCAGCACGATGAAGATCAAGATCATTGCTCCTCCTGAGTGCAAGTACTCCGTGTGGATCGGCACCTCTATCCTGGCCTCTCTGTCCGCCTTCCAGCAGATATGGATCAGCAAGCAGGAGTATGACGAGTCTGGCCCCTCCATCACCCGCTGCAAATGCTCCTGTGCAGACTGTGACTTAGTTACATTACACCCTTTCTTGACAAAACCTAACTTGCACAGAAAACAATATGAAATTGGCATGGCTTTATTTGTTTTTTTTTTTTTTGTTTGTTTGTTTCTTTTTCTTTTTTTTTTTTTTGGCTTGACTCAGGATTTAAAAACTGGAACGGTGAAGGTGACAGCAGTCGGTTGGAGTGAGCATCCCCCAGAGTTCTACAATGTGGCCGAGGACTTTGATTGTACGTTGTTCTTTTTTTTTTTTTTAAATAGTCATTCCAAATATTGTGAGATGCATTGCTACAGGAAGTTCCTTGCCCTCCTAAAAGCCACCCCACTTCTCTCTAAGGAGAATGGCCCAGTCCTCTCCTATGTCCACACAGGGGAAGTGATAGAATTGCTCTGATGTAAATTATGTAATGCAAAATTTTTTAAATCTTTGCCTTAACGCTTTTTTATTTCGTTTTATTTTGAATGATCAGCCTTTGTGCCCCCCCTTTTTTGTCCCCCAACTTGAGATGTATGAAGGCTTTTGGTCTCCCTGGGAGTGGGTAGAGGCAGCCGGGGCTTACCTGTACACTGACTTGAGACCAGTTGAATAAAAGTGCACACCTTAAAAAAAACAAAAAACAAAAAACAAAAAAACAAAACTTAGATGACGGGTTGATTGGTGCAGCAAACCACCATGGCACATGTATATCTATGTTAACAAACCTGCATGTTCTGCACATGTATCCAAAAACTGAAAGTAAAATTTAAAAAATTAAAAAATAAATAAATTAATTTAAAAAAAGAAAATGAAAGCAATGCACCTTTGGGAGAAAATGTTCTCATTACACATGTTTCTTAAAGGACATTTTCCCAGAATCTATAAAAAATTCTTACAACTCAATAATAAATAATTCAATTAAAGATGGTCTTAAATTTGGACAGATACTTCACAAAAAAATACAGATGGCCAATAAGCATATGAAAAGATGCTTATCACAAGTTATCAGACAATATCAAGTGTTCTCAAATATGTGGCACACCGGTACTCTTTTGTACATTGCTGGTGGGAATGTGAAACAGTACAACCGTCTTGGAAAAGTCTGCCAATTTTTAAAATAAAGGTAAACATACACCCACCAATTCTATTACTAGATATATATCAAAGAAAAGTGAAAACAGGTCGGGTGCAGTGGCTCCCAGCACTTTGGGAGGCCAAGGTGGGTGGATCAAACTCCTGAGGTCAGGAGTTTGAAACCAGCCTGGCCAACGTGGTGAAACCCCTGACTCTACCAAAAAATACAAAAATTAGCTGGGTGTGGTGGTGGGTGCCTATAGTCCCAGCTACTGGGGAGGCTGAGGTGGGAGAATCGCTTGAACCTAGGAGGCGGAGGTTGCAGTGAGCTGAGATCATGCCACTGCACTCCAGCATGGGTGCCAGAGTGAGACCCTGTCTCAAAAAAAAAAAAAAAGGAAAAAGTGAAAACGTGTTCATAGGAAGGCTTGTACATAAATGTTCATAGCAGGTTTATTCACAATAGTCAGAGAAATAGGAAACAACTCAAATATCTCTCTGTAGGTGAATGGGTACAAAAATCGTGGTACATGTAAATAGTGGAAAGTTATTTAGCAATAATAGAAATGAATTACTGATATATGCCATAATATGAATGAATCTCAAAAGATTATGCTGACTAGTGAAATTTGCTAAGAGAGTAAGTCTTAAATGTTCTCACCACACATACACAAATGGTAATTATGTGAGGTAATGGGTGTGTTAACTAACTTGATCATGGTAATCAGTTTACCGTTTATATGTATATCAAAGCATGTCGTATATCTTAAATATATATAATTGTATTTGTCAGCTATACCTAGTAAAGCTTGGGAAACCCCTTACACACTTAAAAAATATAACACTGTAAGAGGCAAACAGATGGCAATTCTGCTTTGCACAATACAAGCAAGGTTTGATCTTACTCATATGACTTTTAAAATTGTATATAAAAATGAGACTCAGGCCGGGTGCGGTGGCTCATGCCTGTAATCCCAGCACTTTGGGAGGCTGAGGTGGGTGGATCACCTGAGGTCAGGAGTGCGAGACCAGCCTAGCCAACATGGAGAAACCCTATTTCTACTGAAAATACAAAATTAGCCAGGCGTGGTGGCACATGCCTGTAATCCCAACTACTCGGGAGGCTGAGGCAGGAGAACCGCTTGAATCCAGGAGGCAGAGGTTGTGGTGAGCCGAGATGGTGCCATTGCACTCCAGCCTGGGCAACAAGAGTGAAACTCCGTCTTAAAAAAAAAAAAAAAAGAGACTCAAAATTGAAATATCTCTTTGAGAAACAGATACTTATCTGTGTAGGGTACAAGTATTTCAGATTATAATTCCCCCCAAAATATAACAACAACAACAAAAACGTTATGCTGAACAAAAGAAGAGCAAGACGAAAGAGTACATACTATGTCGTTTTATTCATACGATGTTCTGGAACATGGAAAACTACTGTCTGACATCAGAAAGCAGATCTGTGGTTGCCAGTGTAGGGAAGACTAATACAAAGGGGTATGAGGGTGAAGGAAATGCTATATAACTTGATCTGTTTGTATTTGCAAGGGTGTATACATTTGTCAAAACTCAAATAACTATACATTTAAGATACGTGCATTACTTTGTATGTAAATTATACCTCAATAAAGTTGATTTAAAAAATGAAGAATACAGGCTTTTGCATTAGAGTGACCTGTTACTGCTTCTCATTTGTACCACTTGTATAAGTTACTTATCTAAGTTCAAATTTCTTTATCTGTAAACTGGGAATATTAATAGTATCAATTTCATACGGTTGCTATGAGATTTAATAAGATATTATATGTTGTATACTTTCAAGATCTGTCATAGAACTTAAAAATCAAAGGTAGTTCCTATTATTGCTACACGTGGTTTTTTTTTCTAATCACATCATGAAAGAATGCGGTTGATAATTCAGCCCATTTTTCAGAAGAGCTGCCTTTATAGATCTCAGAGTAGATGTGCACCTTTGCCTACCACCCACAGATCAGGCAGGCAGAACATACAGACCACACTCTGAAAAAGCACCTTCTTTAATGCCAACTATTAGCAGGGAAATTAGGCTAAACTTCCTCTCCCAATTGAGCTAGAGTATGACAATCTGTGTGCCTGGATACGGGGAGGGGCCCCACCTTTTAACACAAATTGAGACTTCTTTGGAGCAGAGCTACCCAGTTAGCCTAGAGCTACTCCAGGCTGACTCCAGTAAAAATGGGCTCCCTGACCCAGCTAGGTGTCAGAACAACAGATCTGTCTTAGATTCATCTGTGGTGTTATGTTTCACTAAGGTTTTCTGCCCTCCTTGTCTATGACAGCTTGCTTGGCAACTTGAGCCTGCACTGCCCACAATTTGGTTCTCTGCCACTTACCTTATGATTACTATCTCAGTAACAGCTCCTGTCTGAACTTACCAGTCACACACCAGTTTAATCACAGCCTGACTAGCCAGCTCTGCACCACCTCCTGCAGAACTTCTTGCCCAGATGGCTGCTGCCTTCTTGCCCAGATGGCTCTTCTCTTGGAGCCACCAGAAGAGTGAACCCTTCAGACTGCATAGCTCTCTGCTGGCACCTGGGAGAAGCAGGAAGAAATTTTTAGATTAAGCTTATTTGAACTTCTAATCTGAAGTATCAGAGATGCATTCCATCAACCCTGCCAGGGATTCCAGTCTAAGATGAGAATTGAGGATGCATAATGGTTTGAGATTAAGACCAGGGTTTGATGAAGCGGGGTTTGATACAGCTCATGCATACAATGCCTTATTTGTCTTTGTATCTCCTGTTTTAGAGGAAGCCTTTCTGTTTGCAAGAGTTTCCTCTCTTTCGACTTTTGATTCCATATGTTCCCTTGCCTTTGGATATTGCTCAGGTTAACCTAAAAACACACCCAGTGATGACAACGCATAGAACATTCTATTTGTTTCTTTAGGCAATATTACATAGTGGTTTTCACCTTAGACAGGCACAGATCTGAATCATCTCTGCTATTTATGAGTTGTGTGATTTGGGGTGAAGCCCTCTGCTCTAGCCATTCTGGCCTTTCTTCTGCCTCTCCAGCATGCCAAGCTCACTTTTCCAGGGTTTTTGCATTTGCTTGTCTCTCTGCCTGAGACCCTTTTCATTCAGGTCTTCTGAGGATAGTTTCTTCTTGTCACTCAGATCTCAGTTCAAATGTCATCTCTTTGGATAGAACTTTCCTCACTATTATTTCTAAAATGCCCCACCTCAGTCACTACTGCACCATCTTATTTTAGTGTCTTCATAGCATTTATCTTATTTACTTGTTTATCATCTGTCTTCCCCAATTAGAATAAAAACTTCTAATCTGGGCACGGTGGCTCACACCTATAATCCTAGCACTTTGGGAAGCCGAGGTAGGCGGACAGCTTGAGCCCCAGAGTTTGAGACCAGCCTGGGCAACGTGGCCAAATCTTATCTCTACAAAAAAATACCAAAATATTAGCTGGGCATGGTGGCATGCACTTGTAGTCCCAGCTACTCCGGAGGTTGAGGTGAGAGGATCACCTAAACCAGGGGAGGTTGAGGCTGCAGTGAACTGTGATCGTGCCACTGCACTCCAGCCTGGGTGACGGAGTGAGACCCCGTCTAAAAAAAAAAAAAAAAGAATAAAAACATCTAGAGAGCAGGGCAGGTCAGGAGGAACTTATCTTTTTCACCACAGTATCCCTAAAGTTTAGAATTGTACCCAGCACATACATAGCAGGTTTTTAGAAAGTTATCTGTTGAATCAGTCAGTAAGTTAGCATCTCCAAGCTTTAGTTTATCTATAAAATAGAGATAATAGTACTTTCCTATAGGGTTAATGAAGATAATATGAGGAAATGTTTGTAAAGGGCTTAGCATGATGCCTGACATAGTAATTGTGCTATAAATAGTGGACATAGTTATTATTATTTCTGCCTGCATTTCCCCTCTCCTGAGTATATAAGCTCCTCTAGAGCACAGATGATGTCTTATTTGTATATTTCATATTGTATGGATATAGTAGACAATAAAACTTATTTTCAATGAAATAAAAATTTTTCCTAGTAAATCAAGGCTTCAAATAGGCGAAATAGAAAATACACCAACTGAACCAACCAAAGATGGTGAGCTCATCTTTTGGACTCAGTTAATCAACCCTCCTCCCAATGAGGGCTTTCCTGACTATCTCGTCCTGGGAGGGTCAGGGGATAAGGTGACTATCCCTTGTGTGGACTTCAGCCAGAGCACCAGTGCATTTGATTTCAGTCATGTGCTCATAGGTACGTTTTCCTTTGCTAGACTGCATGTGCTTTGATTTACTTACCTTTGTATCCCCACCAGCTGGCCCCTTGCCTTCTCTCGTACGCAGTATAGAAGTATTGAAGAATAGAACAGTGGTAAAGGGGCAATAGCACAGGGATTAAGAATGTAGACTCTGGACTCAATGCATCTGGGTTCAAATCCTAGCTTCTGCCACTTACCAACTGGGAGGCTTCAGACAAGTTACTTGACTTCTCTGTGGGCCTCAAGTTCCTCATTCATAAAATGAGGAACAAAAGTACCAATTTCACGAATAGGCAATGAAAATATTTTCTTCCTATAGGTTCTTAAAATAATGCTTTCTTTATTTTATTTTATTTTACTTTTTTTGAGACAGAGTTTGCCCTTTTGGCCAGGCGATCTTGGCTCACTGCAACCTCCGCCTCCCAGGTTCAAGCAATTCTCCTGCCTCAGCCTCCTGAGTAGCTGGTACTACAGGTTTGTGCCACCATACCTGGCTAATTTTTGTATTTTTAGTAGAGATGGGGTTTCACCATGTTGGCCAGGCTGGTCTTGAACTTCTGACCTCAGGTGATCCACCCGCTGCGGCCTCACAAAGTACTGGAATTACAGGAGTGAGCCTCCACACCTGGCCAAATGCCTTCAATTTTATGTGTACTTCATTTCACATAGATGTGCCCCAGACAGTGACTGGATCATAACAGACATTCAGTCGTGTTTATTGAATTAAATTGAAAACTTTAATGTAAATTGATAATCAGGGGTAAAGAAAAGCATGTTTATTTATTTATTTTTGTAGCTGGGACTATAAGCACATGCCACCATGCTGGGCTAAATGCATATTTAAATGGACAGGGAGAACTATAGTCAGTTCTTTGGTATAAGCATACTGATTACTTTTTTCAATTTCATATTTATTCTATTAGATGTGGTAAATGTGATGTATATTTGAAAATAGATTTCGGGGTATGTGTGGTTGGGGAATTCATGTGGAGGTCAGAGTGGAAGCAGGTGTGAGAGGGTCCAGCAGAAGAAAACATGGCTGCCAAAGTGTTTGAGTCCATCGGCAAGTTTGGCCTGGCCTTAGCTGTTGCAGGAGGCTTGGTGAACTCTGCTTTATATAATGTGGATGCTGGGCACAGAGTTGTCATCAGTGATGGAGCCCATGGAGTACAGGACATTGTGGAAGGGGAAGGGACTCACTTTCTCATCCCATGGGTATGAAAACCAATTATCTTTGACTGCCGTTCTCAACCACGTAATGTGTCAGTCATCACTGGTAGCAAAGATTTACAGAATGTCAACATCATACTGTGCATCCTCTTCCGGCCCATTGCTAGCCAGCTTCCTCGCATCTTCACCAGCATAGGAGAGGACTATGATGAGCCTGTGCTTCTGTCCATCACAACCAATATCCTCAAGTCAGTGGTGGCTTGCTTTGATGCTGGAGATCTAATCACCCAGAGAGAGCTGGTCTCCAGGTAGGTGAGCGATGACCTTACGGAACAAGCAGCCACCTTTGGGCTTATCCTGGATGACGTGTCCTTGACATATCTGACCTTCGGGAAGGAGTTCACAGAAGCGGTGGAAGCCAAACAGGTGGCTCAGCAGGAAGTAGAGAGGGCCAGATTTCCGGTGGAAAAGGCTGAGCAACAGAAAAAGGTGGCCATCATCTCTGCTGAGGGCGACTCCAAGGCAGCTGAGCTGATTGCCAACTCACTGGCCATCGCAGGGAATGGTCTGATTGAGCAGGAAGCTGCCGAGGACATCGCGTACCAGCTCTCACACTCTTGGAACATCACCTATCTGCCGGTGGGGCAGTCCATGCTCCTCCAGCTGCCCCAGTGAGTGCCTCCACCTCTGCAGGTTGACCGGCCACAGCCCCGATAATTCTTAACATCGCCTCCCTTCTGCCCCCACCCCAGAAATCACTGTGAAATTTCATGATTGGCTAAAAATGAAGGAAATAAAGGTAAAATCACTTCAGATCTCAAAAAAAAAAAAAAAAAAAAAAGAAAAAAGAAAGAAAGAAAGAAAGAAAATAGATTTCAGAAAACAACTACTTTAAGAAAAAACATCTTCAGTGGTTACAGTTTGAGGACTCATCAGTTTGAAGTGAAAATTCTCTCTAAGTAGATACTACTCTCCTTTTTCAGTTTTGTAGTCTCCTAAATTTACTTTCTCTGCTGACCTTTTAAAAGCTCCCTCTGGGCCTTAACTAGAGCAATAAAAAAAGAGTTTGACAAAGACTTTTAGAAATGTTACTCTTGGGTGGCTCTCTGAACCTGCCTAATAAAATACAAAAAAATGTTACTCTTCCTGAATTAATCTACATTGGGCAACAATAGGGGGTGGAGTGAAATATTCTCAACTGTCAATTAATAACAAACTTAAATGTCACATATAACAGTTATTAGAAGTGAGTTATGGATTCCTCATAAGTGGGGTTTAAATGATGATATAAAATCATCTAGTTAGTTAGTCTTTCTTTCTTTTTTTTTTTTGAGATGAGTCTCACTCTGTCACCCAGGCTGGATACAGTCACGTGATTTTGGTTCACTGCAACCTCCACTTCCCTGATTCAAGCAATTACCCCGTCTCAGCCTCCCGAATAGCTGGGATTACAGGCGCACACCACCACGCCAAGCTATTTTTTTTTTTTTTTTGTATTTTTAGTAGAGACAGGGTTTCACCATGTTGGCCAGACTGGTCTTGAACTTCTGACCTCAGGCAGTCTGCCCACCTCAGCCTCCCAAAGTGCTGGGATTACAAGCATGAACCACCTTTCTAATAAATAATTAGAAAAGTTTTTCCTTTTCTAATTATTTATCTTTAGCTATTCAGAGAAAAACTTTTGTGGCAGCAACACAATTATATTCATTTAGTAATTGAGAGTCAAACATTGTGTGCTAGGCTAAAGGGAATACCAAGAACTTTAAGAACTGGTCCTTTCCTCAAAGGAACTTAGGCCATGTATCTGTAAAATCAGTGTGTTTTTCATAGGCATTCTTGAAAATTACTTGAATAAATCCCAAGTTTAAAAATGATTTAAAAATGATTCTTATCTGACATTGTGTGTTTAAGAGAAGACCAAGAATAAATACACGTACATTCCTTATAGTAGAATAAAGCCCCTTTGCAAGGGGGAGAACGGAAGCTGCAACAGACTTTGTTGGTGGCCACTGGGCCTTTGTGAGTTCTTGGCACTTGGAAGCCTATTTTCAGTATTTCAGGTTAAAATTCTCCTGCTTGTCAATAAAGAAGCCTTAATTTT